AATATAATACATGTATTTGACCTTTCTAAATCGATGTGAAATAGAAGAAATTCCTACATTCGGATGTTGGTCAACCCATTCGATTATATTTTCCATTTCTTCTAATGTAAAACAATTTTTTATGTCAGAATCTTCATTCTCACTGTAATCATCAATTTTATCATCGCTCTCTTCTTCATCAGTCACTTCATCATATTCATCGTTAAATTCGAGAGTATCATAAGTATAGAGCTTATTGAAGTAGCTGTTTTTAAATGACTTCAAAACTTCGAATAATCATTCTGCAGTAAAAATTTCATCGGCAGTTGTTGCAGAACTTTTAGATCCATATTCATTTTTAGCCAAATAGAGAAGATGTTTAGCTATGTTCGATAACTTCATGTTTTAATTCGACGAAATAAGCCTTTTTAACCGGTTGATACGATCGAAAATATAAGAGATTACTTCTTCGAAAGCGTATTTATTTGTGATTTATTGACATCAATTGTAAAGAAGTGGTCAATAGACCATCAAGTGATGCATCAATGCACTTTAAGATCATATATTATATACGTACAAGTTAATTTTCAAACACATCATATATATTTCTTGATTTCTATACTACTTAAGCTCCAGAGGATATCGAAATTAATGTGATATTAATGATATTGATAAACTTCAGAAAGATTCTTGTTGTCTACTATTGAAATACTCAGTTCATGGCATGAAAAACTAATGCAAATAAGGGTGTGGGTGTGGGTGTGGGGAAGAGTGTGGGAGCAGGTGTGAATGTGCGTGTGGGGGGTGGGTGTGGGCGATAGTGTGAAAGCAGGTGTGAATGTGGATGTGGTTGTCTAAAACTATACTATTGAAGAGTAGAGGTCGCATTGAATCAAAAGACCTAAGATCTATTGGATTTTCCTCCATTTTTTAAATACGGTTGGATTTGCGGTCAAACCTGTCCCAGATCTTTAGTTCTAACGATTGTATCCATGAGAAGCACCACGAAGTAGTCAAAAGCAAGACAAGATACCCTTAGTAGAAAAACGAGGTCTCTATTTATTGTTCATACTCATACTCTTGACTCAGTTCGTTTCTCACATGAGAGAGAGACCATTTCTGGTGTGGGCGTGGGTGGATGTGAATGCGGGTATGGGTCTGGGTCTGGATTTGGGTGAGAGTCTTCTCTTGATCCACCGACACTCACACCCACGCCACACCCATACCCGCAGGCACGCTACACCCACTCACACACTATACATCCACAGCCAAACCCACACCCACACCCTACGCGTAGTTACGATGAAAAAGTCGCAGTTGCACGTAATTGCGATTTCTTTTTGTAACTACGCATAACTACGTCGCAATTCGATTGTAATCGAAAACATGCTGTTAGAAGACAATTTGGATAAATTGTTGTTTTGTGAAGCAAACCCATATAATCAACAAGCTCACACATTCGCAAGAGTCCCATACGGTTAAATGATTGAGAGAGAAAAGGATCAACCTATATTTTCGATTGCGATCGAATCACGACGCAGCTACGACGTATTTCCGTCGTGTCTGCGAAAAACTGCGACACAGTTGCGCGTAGTTGGGATGAAAAAATCATAGCTACGCGTAACTACGATTTTTTTTTGCAACTACGCGTAACTGCGATTTTCTTTTCGCAATTGTGCGTAATTGCGTCGCAGTTGCTAAAAAATAGGTGACATGGGACAGCAAATTTGGAGAAATGAAGAATATTAGCAAAAAACACATGTTAACGCGAAGTGAGTATCTTGAAATGCATGTATGCCATGAAAAATTTGTTAAGATAATGTATAACCTCTATACAATAAGTCTCGGCACGACATTAAAACGCATATGGCTCTGTTCTGAAAAATGAGCTTTTTGAATTGGAACGTATGTTATAAAATCTGCATGATGTCATCTTTTTAAATTTATTTTTCAGAGATTTTCTAAGATTTTTCGTTCAAAAACTATAGATTTTTTTTGCGAGTACTAAAAATTGATTTTATACAAGCAAAAACACTTTTTGGACGACATACTGTACTCGAGAAAACTCTTCATAGGTTTTCATTATCATATTCAGATTATAGATTAGACAAAATGTCTACAACACTACCCATTTCATGACTTTGTAGAGTATTTCTGTAAAAAACGAACAAATTTTTTAATAGAAATCGCATCCCATAGAAAACGTGAAAAAGTCGTATTTTCAGCAATAGATGTTTCTATAAAATTTTTCTAACTTTTCCATCGAAAATTCCACAAGATCGACCAACACACGATTATGTACAGAAATGTTCATTCTATAATATAGTGTAAGGATTAAATATTTTCTGTTAAATTTAACGTATTAGCTCAAAAATATGTCTTTTGTTTTTTAACAAAAAACATTAAACAATTGCTGAGAAAAGATTCGAAAATATTGCTTCATACAAATTTTAAAATATACGTTCCAGTTGAACAAGCAGTTTTCCTAACGAAGTAAGATGCGTTTAAATATTGTCCCAAGTCTATTTCAAAAAATAAATTCATGACAAAAAGTGTGAAGCTATAGATGCTGGTAATATCGAACCATGTAAAACAGTATTTCTTTCTTTGAGATCTACTTATTTGACGTGGGAAGACTTATTACTCAACTATGCTTCGGTAATAAAAGTGATATTTTCTATATTTATTAAACATTCGATGTCAGCGCAAACTCATTCTCATCTTCTATTTTATCTTTTCAAATATCATAGAATATTTCTAGAGAGTTTTTTTTCTTTCCCAAATCAACTATTTTAATACAAAGTAAAAAAAAAGAAAACATACGTTCAAAATTTGAGTGTGCATGGGATTATATTTATTATCAATACATTCGTTCTTTTATACTGTTTAAAGAAATGAAAAATATAGTCACAGCACTACATATATGAACATAAGACAAAAATAAAAAGCTCACTAATACACTCATTAGAAAAAAAAAAACGTATATTGAAGAAAAGAAATATTAAACGATATACATTGTTTAATTAATAATCTATAGAGATTTTAAGTTGTGGTCGATGATGGATTTTCTTCTCTATGTCTTTCTATTGTTGGTAAAGGTGTTTGTGTTATTATATTTTGATCAACAAATACATGAACAAGTTGAGCTTCGATAACAGGTAATTCAAAATGATGAAAAAAATAAAACATTGAATGAACAATAAAACAACAACTTGTTGTTAATGCTAAACCTGAATATTGACCATTATATCGAGCATGATATGCATAAAATGCAAAATGGTATATATAAAAAAATCTTGAAAGAAAATAAAAGAAACCAATCATCTTATCTTTTCTTTTTCTAAGAGGAAAAAAATCATTTACCGAACCCAATGACGTTTACTTATTGATGTATGACAACATATACTATCATATTGATCTGATATCCATACAATCAGAATAATATAAAAAGCTAAGGAAAAAGAAAAATAATAATAATAATAATATTAATTAAAAATTCTAAATTCATTACCAGTTGATGCATCGCTAAAAAATTCCGACATAATTGCTTCCATACCTATAAAATAAAATAAAAAATATTTTAAATTTATTTCAACCAAAGAAATAAATTTTTTACCGATTAGAGCTAATATAACTGTTAATAATGGTGCAGCTGGAAATACAATAGATGCATTATGTTCAATCATACGTAAGAGATCAACTAAAAAACAAATCAATTTTTAGTCTATAGAAAATATTCAATTTAAATAACTCACTAATAAAAAGAAATATTTGAAAATGTGAATAACGAAGAAGCATCGAAATGCTAACCGTCTAAATAAAAACAACAATCAAGAAAAACTTCAATAATTATATAAATAATTAAACTTACAAATATAATCATAATACATAAAGCAACTAAATATGTCCATAATCGACGATTTTGCCATGTACTAACAAAACGAAAATGATCATTTGTCATTACATTACGAACATAGCCTGAACAAAATAAATTCATTTGTTGTCTTTTTTTTTGTAATATAGTTAGTATTGTATAATAGATACCTTTATGAGTTTCTTTTTCTGCTATTTGTTTTATACTAGACATAAGTATTTCTTGATAGCCAAGAAATTGATCAAGCATAAATCGACTTAAACCATTACCAAAACAGGTATTATTTGTTACATCTTTTATTAGATGAAAACAAAATTAAATTAAATATTGTTTAATAAAAAAAATTCAATAGAGAATTCGAAGAAGAATAATCTATAGAACGGAAAAGATTATATGTTGATAAACAGAAGTCAATTTAGGGTTAAATAGAGTATTTGAGAATTTATTATCTTTTCATTAAAAGATAAAATAATGATTATTCTTATTTTGACAATAATTTTTTAGCTATATTAATATTCGATTACCAATGGGAGATAACAAAGGTGTGTTTATGCTCTTGACATTTTCTTTTTTCAAAAGTCAATATGATGATGACATATCATGTATAGATGTTACTGTAATTGCATCAATTCATTTTACTAGTACTTGAATAATATAGAATGCTCATATGAGAAGTCAGTTTTTAAACTCTTATCATAATATATTTGTTGTTTATTAGAAATCTATAAAAAAATTTTGAGTAGTATTCAAGTGCAATATTGATCGTAATATCAAAGTGTTAATCTTTGTTTATGAAAGATAGATTCATTATCAATTCAAAGGAGTAGATTATACTTCACTAGAGATAATTAAAATAAATTCTATCTATATTATACAAACGAACTTTGAATAATAAAACAAGAACTTCTTAAAAGATAGTATTGAATCTCGTCTTATTAACAATTCTTTTCTTTTTTTTTTACCTAATGTAACAAGTAAAACTTCAATATTAAGTCTTTGTCTTGTTTCTGGTGATAAACGTAAAAATCCATATTCAATTGAATATTCAAGAATATAATGTTCTTCAATTAATAATTGTTTAAGCCAATCAAAATTAAATAAATAATCAAATAAAGATTCATTATCATGATTATCTTGTGATTCTGATAAAGAATTATGATCAATAATTTGAGCAGTCGCTATTGCTTCATTTTTCATTATTGATTTACTTGAATAATCAATTGATGATAATAAAGAAGAATTAATACTCATATTTGGATAAGATTCTTTGAATAGATCATTTTCTAATGATTCAATCGGAATTTCAATCACAGGAAGAATCTTTAATAATAATAATAATGAAAAGAAAAATTTAATATACACGAAAAAAAAAGCCTATATTTTTTTCTTCTTACTTTTTCGTATTGTTTTGATATAGACTGATTTAATTGATTCTCATCATAATTATAGAAATGACTATATTGAAATTCTTTAGCATACGATTGTTGAAGGTTATAATCTTCTGGTGGAGATTCAAAAAACAATTCAACACGAAGTACACCTTGTCTTGGCCAATGATCATGCAAATGAGAAAGACATGTTACTGGTTTTTGATTGAATACAACATGAAGATAAACAAGTAAAATCATACAAATAACTGCCTAAAATCGAATTAAATTATTATGAATTCTTTTTTTTTGTTATTTTTATTAAATAAATTTTATTTATTCTACCATAACAAGTATTGCTGTTTCTCCTAATCGACGAATATGTTTAGGAATAGTTCGAGCATAAAGAACAGCAATACGATAAAATAATGCTTGAAAGAGTCGTTCCATTGTATCACCATCAGCTGTAGGTGGTGGTATTCGCGGTGGTTGTTGTTGATTTATGCGCACCGGCGGTATTACTTCATTCGGAATATTCGACATTACATTGTCCAAATGAAAATAAAACCTAGAAAAATATATATATCTAAAATAAAAAATGTAAACAAAACAATTTGAATCTAATTGAAAATCGTTGCGTTTCAATATCTCTTTCCATATATATATATATATGAAACAAAATAAAGATTTAATTCTGATTAAATACAGAAGAATTTGTATTTGATAAATCTCTTCTATCATTATCATCATCATCCCAATCTTCATAAATAATATTTTTCTTTGAATAATCATCAATTAATTTATTTTGTATTAATAAATTTTTATCTTGTTTTGTTATAAAATGAATTATTGTTTCAATTAAATGTTGTTCATTATCTAGAAAAATATTTTTCTTTAATGCTTTTTTTTCAACTAAATAATTAAATTTTTCTTTTAATACATAAATTAATTCATTTGTTTTATTATCAATATTTATTTTTATCCAATTATCAATTAATATTATATTATCATTATTATTTATTGTTGTATTTGTAGATTTTTCTGTTGTTAATTGACTTTTACCAAAAAAAAGTAATGCATATGGTGATATAAAACTTGTATCATGAATATATATACTTGACGTACGAATTTTTTCATGATAAACAATTAATGTTGATTGAACGGAAGAACGACGGATATCATTATCCTAGAAAAATTTTCAAATTATTTCATGATAAATAAATCAAAAGTTATAATTTGATAAAGGAACAAATAAAGAACAATCTTGACATTTGAAACTACATACTACTTGAGTTGACTAATTCTTTTTTTATTTCTTTTTATCACATAAAATTTTGAGAATATCCTCAAAAACATATATTTTTCTTTAATTGGGACTTTTGTTTGTAAAACCTGGAATAGTCAGTGGTACATCATATTTTGAAACAAAAAATAAAGTAGGCATTCTAATCACTTTCTAGTATGAGTAGAAGAACATTTCAGTTTGATCAGATGCATTGTGGTTGAGAAACGAGAAGGAGATGATTTTCTACTTTTTTCTTGCAAACAAGCTTATTTTTTTCCAAAAACAATGAAATAATGTGTTAGTTTTGATGTTTTTCAGCGAACATATTCTATCTATTCCAGCTTCTATAGTTATATATTAATTCTTGAAATTTGTTCAGTAGATAGAGAATATTTCAAACTGTACACACTGCAGATAAAAACAAAACATTAAGAATTTAAAAAATTTCCAGTCGAGAAAGGATGAATTCCCTCAGAGGTATAATCATTTATGATAATTTATCTATATGCAAATAGCATTCTTTAACCACAAAGTGGTGTAAAAATGTCATTAGAACTATTTTTGAAAGCATCAAATAAAGCATTATTCTACTGATGATAAAAACAAATCATTAATAACATAAGAATTTTCTTTGGTATAGTAAAATGTATGTAAGACGGAATGAATTTTATAATTATATTCGTAATATATGAATAAGGTACAATAATTCAAACATGATTCGACCTCGGATCAATAAAAATCGCTAGAAAAATCATTCATGATAGTTACTGATTGAAAACTAAGATGAATAGAATTAATGTAAATATATCAGATTCTTATGAATACAGTTTAATGAATGTTACAAACACATGTCGAAAAATAAAACCCAATTTATACGTCGATATTTTACGTTTAATTTATATTTCATAAAATTTTATTGAAAATATTTCGAAGGATTACTAGAGTTTATATTTTTGAGATTCGATAGATTTATCCAAACTTTAAGAATTATCTCTTGATAGCACGTAATAATATTCCAACTGAATCTGATGAGAGTCATAAACATGTCTTCTAGAATAAAAGATGATATCATGGAAATTTATTTCGCTCCTCCAAAGATGGCCCTCTATTGCGCGCTAGGTTTTAAGAAGAAAACCAAGGATTTTTGAAAAATTTTTCTAATATTCAAACAGGCATGACTCAAAAATGGGATTTTTAGGTGCTGAAAGCCCAAAAAAATTTATCAGACTTCCAAAAAAAAGAGCTGTTGGAAATTTCATCACTTTCCATTACGCCTTGGGAAATTTTTCCTGTGAGTGGTCTTCTAATAGAGGATGTTGTTGTTTTCTAACCAGGGAACTACTCCAAATGGCACCTGCTGTTTGAGTTCATATTGGACCTACAGGTAGATCTCAATGAGGATAGCAAAAGCCTAAAAGGGTTCGTTCACATGGAACTTTGTCGTCAATTTATGATCGATTTACTGGATATTTGATTCATTTGTAGGTAGTTTCTCAAAAAAAAATCAAATGACAGAATTTTGATTTAAAATTTTACCTATAGATAAATCTAATGACTCTTAGAATATCTTGAAAGTTTCAGCTAAAAAGAATGTTCCTTCGTCAAGAAATTGAATATTCAAAAATAGCCCTTTGCCACAGATATGTCATAAAAATCGAGTTCACTTGAAAACTCAATAAATCGACAAAGAAACATTCCTTTTCGGATGAAAGTTTCAGGATATTCTAAGACTTTGTTATATAAAACAAGAAAAACATTCTTTTATTAATGATTGAAATGTTCACGAAAAAAATATGATGAGAAATATTATTTCAAATTTTCTATAAATAAATTTACCCTGAGTTTTGCATTAATTGATCTTGGATGTATTAAAATTCGTTTTTCATATTTAGTTTCCAATAAACATGGTCGTTTAGATGATTTATCTAATGATAGACGAATACGTGCAATATTTGGATAGAATCCAGCACACATAAGTGCACAGATTAGATCATAATTATTTTTATTTCTATTTGCATCATCTATTTATTAAAACAAACAAAAAAGATAAAAACAACTTCGTATAAATAAACTTAGATTAAATTTCTAAATAATCTAACCTGTATATGAAGCAAAATAATCTTGAATAAGATGTTTTAATTGATTTCGTACTTTATCAATCATTTTCATATGATTTGAATTAAGAAAATTTTCAGAACAAAAACGATTTTTATCACGATAATTTCTTTGTCTTTTCCATTCTTGATAAATATTTACTAACATTAAATGATCTGACATTGTATTATCAGCAAAACGACGACGTATTTCATTTATTTCTTGAATTTTATCAATTGGAGCAACAAAACTTCAAGAAAAATTATATTGCAATTAAAACAAAAACAAATACATTTTTTCATGAGCACAACTTATGGGAACGCATAGGGCGTAACGGCTTCCTGTTTTATGAAATTCATCCACATACAACGCGATCTATTCTGGAACACTTAACCACTATGCATCCATTCCTCGTGCCTCTACACAATAGGCAATTTCTATGGAACACGTGGATATAGATTATTTTCTATCAAAAACCGCACTCTTTTCATAGAAATATTTATTTCCAGTACTCAACAGAAAAATTGATGAGAAAAAAAGTGAAATTCGTAAAGAAAAATTTTCGATGTAAAATGCATGAGGAAAGATCCTTACTCTAAACTTTAGTTGGAAAAATTTCCATTTTAAAAATTAATAAATGGCACATTATTTGATGCAGTTTTTTGTACTGATATCAAATATGTTCTTATTTTTCTCTTAAAATACTTCTCAGACAAAAGAATGCAGAAGTTAGACAGAGCAAAACATTTTGTAAAAGTTTTATCAAGTTTGAAGCTGTGCTAAGGTGTGTGTATCGACTACACTGAATACAACTTGTTTAGAAAACCCCTAGTTGAGAAAGCATGTAGACTTTTTCCAACAACGAAATTATTAGAACAAAATTTTTCATAAAGAACGATAGAGCAAGAACTCGAAGATTTATTCCATAGGTCTTTCTACTTTTTTTTTTTTAGAGAAAAATACTTTCCTCAAAGATGGCAAGAATCTGGCCACTTTTCGAATCTAGAATTTTCTCAAAGTCTTAAAGGGCTAGAAAAATTTTTGTAAACAAAATATAATCCGGTGTTAGCAATGTTAAGTTATGCTGTTGTATGCATATTTTCATATACATACGGATCTCGATAGCTTAAAATCGATGCAATTGTTAATATTGGATCAAAACAAGAAAATAAATAACCCATAATTAATAATTTTCCAATTTGAGGATCCATTGGTAAACTAAAAACAAATTCTTTTCTTTTTTTTTTTTAATTGTTTTAAACAATTTACTGAGCAAGAATTTTTCCAATTGGTGTTAATTCATTTGTCTCAGATACTAATGCACCAATATCACATAGAAATTTTTCTGCATGTTCAATAGCTTCAATTGATGGTGGATCAAGTGCATCTTGAAGAAATATTTTAATATTATCTACATTTAATAATTTAGCTTGTAAATAAATATTATCTAAACGTGATGTGATCATTTCAGCTTGAGGAAAATCAACAAATGAAAGACGTTCATTACAACGTGTAAATAAACGATAACATTCACCGGGTTGTGTTCGACCAGCTCGTCCTATTTAAACAAAAAAGAAATAATAATAATAATAATAATAATAATAACATTTTGTTATTTTAAATAAAACCTTTTCTTTGAAGTAAATTCGCTCGTGAAATATTTGTTGGTAAAAGACATTTTCCTTGTGTTTCAAGATCATAATCACTTGCTTTTGTTCGACCAGTATCAAGAACATAAACAACATCATCAATAGTAATCGATGTTTCAGCAATTGATGTTGATAAAATAACTTTACGTAAGTTTGGATGAGGTGATGGATCAAATATTTCTTGTTGATTATGTAATGGTAATAAACTATGTAATGGTAATATATGAAGATATGATGCTAATAATGTTCTTTGACGAAGTAATTGAGTACATTTAATGATATCACTCCAACCAGGAAGAAATACAAGAATTGTACCTGAAATTTTTGATGTTTAATCATTTATTTAAAATTAGATATGAAATGTTTTAAATTTTTTTGAAATATATAGTCAGAAAGACATTCGAAAAAAATAATTGTTTCGCTTTTTTCTAGGATTAGAAGAGAGAACAATAATAAGTTTAACGTGAAATTGATCATCGAACTAAATCTTCATATCGAACAAGCTAAACTCTTTAAAAAACCCACATAATTGTAGACTTCTATTTTTTTTTATTGAATACATCATTCATGTTACACGTTCGTTCGCACTACCATCGGTATCTATAAGTATTGACGAGTATATCGGTAGTTTCTGTCCGATTTGAATAATATGGGTAGGTAAATTGACTAGGTTTATCACGTGTCCGGAGTTTTAGGTTTTAACGTTAACTTAGTGAGGCATTGTAAATCAATAGCAAAAAATAAAAAGGAAAAAGATTTAATTTATTGCAATGTTACATGAATATTATTTTTGTGAAAGTGCATATGAGAACATTGACTAGTATTGTACACAATTTTGTAATTATTTCCTAAGTAGCTCACATCTCTTTAAACAAAGTGTCCTTTTTTCAAGACAATACAGCCGTATTTCAAAAGTGCCACAAATTGTACATGATTTAATTTTTCTAGTTTATTTTTATGCATATTTCAATAAACAATCGTAAAATAATTGATCATATACAGTTTAATGATTTTCTTTTTTTCTCATTTTACATGATTTCTAAGAAAATATCGCTGCTATCAAGCTAAGATGACAAAGAAATAAATGTGGAAACCTCGGATTTAAATCCGAGAGTTATGTGTACTTCAAAAAGTGAATGAGACAAATCGGTCATCCTACAATGTGTGGATATAAAAATTAGCCTGGCAAACCCTTTCTATAAACACTTGAATTCTATTGGCTACTGCTCAAACAATAGGATTTCGGAGTGAATACAGAGAAGATTTCGACTCTTCGCCTTGAGTTATCCTAAAAAACTCGTTTTTTCCTATAATTTGATTTCTTTTGGTCAGTGCTCAACCAATGGGGCTTCAAGTCAAGTGGATTACAGATTCGAGTTCTCCATCCGAGAAAATCTCGAAGTATTATCTTTGTGATCGGAAGATAAAGCTCGAATTGGGGATCGATTAGAGTGCAGACAAAAAACAGAACCAATTTCCGTTTATTTATCTTTGCAATAGGCGAGCTAGCCTTCTTGTTTCTTTATGTTTTATATACCATGTTGTAGCTCTTGAAATTCTCTATCGAATGGTATATAATAGTTGGGGTTTTATTTGACTATGATGGGAAAAGTTGTTTACGAAAGCGGGAATGGGTCGATCTTTCCATAGGGAAGGTATAGGGGAAAATGAGTATTTTTGCAATAACTCAGGAAGGGCTCGGTCAATCCTTCTCATCTTCGAACTCGACCGAGATATTGTTAAGACTGAACTGTGTAGAAAATTTCATCGCGATTGGACTCTCCTTTCAAAAGTTATCGTGTTAACGGACGGACGGACACACTGACCGATTCGAGAGTGTACTCACTTTTTGAGTACACAAAAAGCACTTATGGGAATGGAGATTTTTCTTCAAGAGGAAATTGCCAGATGTTCCGTTAATTTCAACTAAAAATCCCATGATAAACTTCGAATTTTTATGGCAAATCTACTGATTTCTCAAATTTGGATTAGATCAGACTGAAATCGATCGTTCTTAATGCGTTTATGATCTCTAATCGAAAGTAAAATTCTTTACGTTATAGTTTAAGCTATAATGTAAAAATTATTGTAGAAAATATATAAATTAAAATCGATTATGTTTTCATAATGCACATTCAAGTCAGATATTTTTGCAAATCTTTATCTTTTTTGAATAAAATCAATACCTTGAGAAGATATTCGACATATAAATTCAATAACACTAACAACTAAATCACAATTAATTTCTAAACCAAAATCAGTTCCAATAGCCTGAATTTTTTGAAAAACATCAATTGATTTATGTTGTTTAACTAAATCAAATTGAAGTTCACTTATATAATGATCATAATTTGTATGATCTGTTTCGTTATGAAATTTTCGATTTAATCGATGATTATATATCATATTATCATACGGATATTTTAATTTTGTTATATAATCTTCAAGAAAATATTCTTTCACTGGATACATATTTCCTTGAATACGTAAAATTGGACAATTATTAAAATAAAAACTAAATTTTTCAGCTTGAATCGATGCACTAAAATGAAAAAGCCAAATATCAAAAATTAAATTTTGTTTTTTCAGAAGAAAAATAAATATTTACCTCATTAATATAACTTTCATATTTTGACGTATTTTTAATAAACGTTTTATAAAAATAAGTAAAAAATCCATTTCTATATTTCTTTCATGTATTTCATCGAGAATTATATGAGAAAAATGTTCAAAATTCGTATATTTTTCAATATATTTAAGTAACATTCCTGTTGTACAAAATAGAATTGAACCATTTTTACGTGGTAATTGAGCTGAAAGACGAATATGATAACCAACTGAATCACCAAGATTTATTTCACCACGTTCTTGTGCTACACGTTGAGCAACTGATGTTGCTAAAATAAGATAAAAATTTTAATAGGAAAATATCAAAAAGAATAAAACAATGAATTTACCACTAATTCGACGTGGTTGTGAACAAACTATTCGACAAAGACTACCTTGATTTTTTAAAATTTGATCATCAAGAATAAATTGAGCTGTTTGTGTTGTTTTTCCTTAAAACAATAAAATTATAAATTAAATTCATTTCTTTTTGTTTTTTGTTGTTATTAAGAGATTTACCTGATCCAGTTTCACCTACAAGAACAAATATTTGATTTTGTTCGATAGTATCGAGAATTTGTTGACGCCAATCAGTGATAGGTAAACAAGCTCGTTGAATATTTAATTTTTGATATAATGATGAAGATTGTTTCTTTCGTAAATCATCGAATAAATTTTGATCAATATCTGGTTTACGATCGAGTGATTCAAAATATTGAAATGAACAATATAATTTTTCAAATTGAATAGCATGTTCAGCATCATCGATTGATGTATTATCTTCTTCATTAGCATTAATATTTGTTGAAGATCTTCTAAAATGTTTTCGTGAATCTTTTTGATGATTAAATAATTGATGAATTTCTGTAACATGTTGAATTTCATTTGGAGATAATTCAATAGTTGCTACTGGTTGTGATGGAGATGGATGAAATTTTGATGATGTCCGAGTAGAGTTGGCAGATCGTTGATGTTGTGCATACCATAGACCAATAGCTTTACCACGAAGATGAGGGGGATGATGATTTGAATTCGATGATTGACATGCTTGATTTGAAACATGATAATTTAACGATAAATTCGAGTTCTTCATCGATGTCGAAAATTTTCTGGGTATTTATAATTATTGTAGATATTGAATAAATATCACATGCATTAAATTTTGATCAGATCAATAACTTTTATTATATCCACAAATAAACAGAAAAGTCGAAAATAATCAGGAATTTCTTTCACAAAATGGGCAATAATGAATTTATTAGTGACTAGATGATAGAAAAATAAATATGAATGGTTTAGAAATTGAATCAATAAAACCTTGTTGATAGATGTCGTTATAATATTGATGGAAATATCTAATTGTCTATACTTTTAAGTATGCATATGTAGTTCAATCAATTATTGTTCTTTTAAACTTTGACTGCGTTCGACTATCTTTTGAAGATTAGTTCGAATTTGGTTCGATTCGATTTCATTTTGAAAAGAAAAACAGATAGATAGAAAAATTCAGTGATTGTTGCATGTTCTTCAATCATATTGAGACGAAAATAATCCTTGTATGTTTGTTTAAAAGAAATATACTACACGCACGACGAAGCTGCGGCTCATTATGCTCAATCTGTTCGACACTTCTTAGATAAAGCGTTTCCTGATCGGTGAATTGGTCGGCGCGAAACAATTGACTGGCCATCACGATTTCCGAATCTCACCCCGACGGATTTGTTTTTATGGGGTGTAGTCAAAGATCGTGTGTATGTGAGAAAACCTCAAAATCGTCAAGCACTCAAGGGTGCTTTGTTAAAGAAATACAAAGCTTGCGAGTTGAATCATGTCGAAAAGCTTGTCAATCAGTACCTGATCGACTACAACTTTGTAAAGACATAGAGAGTGAACACATTGAACAATATTTGTAACTGTAATTTTCTTTTTCTGTAACTTTAATAAAAGTTTTGTTAAAACTCAGAGGCGTCTCCTTTTACTGGTTATCCTATACTTGTACGCTTTTGCACAAATTACTATACCTAAATGTTGTTCATATGCTACATCTTTGACTTATATCATCTAGTATATGTGGTATAAATATGAGATCTAACCCACAATGTATAAACAAAGAAATTGGAAAAATACTTTGTTCCATTACTTATGATCCACTCTGTATTTATCACTGCTGTTAAATTAACAATTTTTTTAAATAATATCATTGAAACTTGATGAATCGACATAGTACAATATACCTAATTGTGTTATCAAAAAAAAAAATTTTTTCAAACACACATAACGCGATGCAACAAGCATCAAAAACTCGGTTTATTGAAGATATTTTTCATGAGACTCAAACATATGAATATATGAAAGAAAGAAAGAAAGAAAGAAAAACCTCAATAAGGTTTAACAGTCATACAAACACCTCGCCATGCCCATCATGATGCTTGACCAATATTAGTTGTCTTTTTCCATAAATCTAATTCACAAACAACTTCTGTTGGACGTCTTTCAGGTGAACGTTTATAAAATACAGGACATGAATAAATATCCAATGCTGTTGCTCGAGTATTACTTGTTATATCAGCACCTTGTTGTTGTTGTGAAACTGATTGAGAAGCTTTTTCTGCTGAAACACATGTTAGATGCATCACAGGTAAGGATGAATATGCATCACGATTTCTAGCTGGAGCGTCAGAAATGCCATGTTCAACAGCATTTTTATCCGAACTACAACCCCATAAATAAAGACCAAATATAAATAGACCATCTTTAGGTGGTTCACGAATATGTTCACGATCACGTGGTGTTAATTCACATTGAAATATAAGAGAACCATTGTTAACATCATCAGAAAAATTAAGTGCATGTGCTACTTCTTGTTTAAATATACCAAATAATGATGAAGCATGAAAAAATGCAGATAAATTATAAGCTGGATGTTTTTCACGACCTACAATAGAATTCATATGATTCAACACAAAAAAAGATAAAATCTTTCCAAATTTATTATTCATACCTTTAGTAAGTACTTTTTCAATATGTTCAGCTCGCATAATAAAATCAGGAAAGAAATTATTTAAACCCCAAGTTGGTGGTGGTGCACTTGGACCAATCATTTCACGCCAAGCATCAGGTATTCGTTGATAGTATAAAGCATGTGCTACATTAGCTAATTCTACGGACCATTGTGTACCTAATTGACTCAAATCACAAGCAGCCTTGATCGATTGTAAATGTGTACGAATAAGAGTTACAAGATCAGTCATTAGCTGTGCTTCACGCACAATCCATACATTAAATGGACTTTGAATCGGTGTGCCATTACGACGAGCACGATCCAATATTTGATCCTATTCATATTCATACATAAAATGAATTTAGAAATAAATAAATAAATAAACAATACCTTTGTTAATACTTTAGGTAGCTTTGACGCTAATATCGTAGCAGAATATTCTTCTAATGCAACTGCTTTTTTTGTTGAAAATGAATAAAGTGCTGCCGAACTGAATGAGGTTGGTGCTGCATTTGAAGATGACAAAGATGTATTAACTGTTACATCTATGATTTTATTTTATAATAAAAACAAAATAATTATTGAAAACGAAATTCAAAAACGAAAACAAAATCCAAACCTTCAACAGGTGTGTTTGGTCGTTGATGAACTGCTGCACTTAGAGAAATATTTGCTGGTAAAGCATCAAGTATTCGATTAAGACGATTAATAATTAGTAGATCATCACCTTTTAGAATATTTCAAAAAAGATAAAAAAGAAATTTTCTTTATAAAAAAATAAAATATTCTTCTACCGAGATTTGTTTCATTTGTTGAATGAAGATGACATGCTTCTGGTGCATCAAGTTGATGAATAGAAAGTGATTCAAGTGCTTGTTGTAATTGACTTAATTTTGGTTGTTGTGCAAAAAATATCGATGGAATTTTATATTTTATTTTTGAAAATTCAAAATCTCTTTTAATTGACCCTGGTTGAATCCAAAAATCTACTATATTTGCAATAGCACGTTGATCATATTCACTTAATGCTCGTGCACCATAAATTAATTCTGATAATGCATAACGAATTGATGTCCAAGATAATGGTCGAATATTTGCTTCAGTTGATACAGCACTACTTGTATGAGCTGATTCAAGTCGTACAATTGATTGATCACTTAAAGCAAATTCTCTAGCAACTACTTGAAAAGCTGATGTTAATTCAACATTTGTAAATGATGTTAATGTTGGTAAATCCCAACCAGCTTGAGAAAATCTTGTACGAAGATTAAGTAAACAATGAAGATAACAAATATTATGTAATAATGGTATCCATTCTGGTTTACTTGAATGACGAAGAAGATCATTATCAATTAAAGAAAATGCTCGTGTCATTGCTTCTTTCATTGATAATGGTGTACGAATATAAGCAATTAAACATAAATTATAAAGTGAAGATGGAAATGAATATGTACGTTGAATACTAAGCCAAATACGTGGCATTGTTGATGTTGATGATGAACGTTTCGAACGAAGTTCCCATAATGATGTTTCAACATAAGATAAAAATGATGGATTATTATGAACGCAATGAAGTAAAAGCCAAATATTCTAAAATAATAATTTTAGATTTTTAATATTAAATAAAATTTTGCTTACATGTGTTAATGCTTTATTAAAAGTTTTTTTTAATATTCGTTCTTCATTTGCTCCATTACCATAAATATTAACAATTTGAAATGTTGGTGTTGTTATTGATGAATCTGTTTGAATTAAATTTGTACAATATAAGAAAAAATTTACGACTTCATCTGGTTCATCATCATAAAATAATAAAATAGATCGTTGACCACTTTGACGTGTTAATAAATCAGCATCTTGTTGAAGTGTTGGTGATACTCTATCAAAGAAAAAAAAAATAAATAAATAAATATCTCAAATTAATTGTAAAATAATTATTTTAAATAAAATTTACGGTATTGTTGTTGATCGAGATGTTGATGAAGTTTGTGATGATGATGTTGTTTGATGAGGATTATGTTCTTGTGTTAAAGATTTTGTTTTATGTGAACTATAAAGAAAAAACAAACAATAAAATCGAATCAAATTATAGTTTATAAAAATTCAAAAAGAAAAATTTTACTCTTGATGAAAAACATTTGTAACATAAACAGTTGATGCTTGAAGTAATCGATCACTTCTTAAAGCTCGTACAATACAAAATTTTTGTATTGGTTCAAGTTGTTCAAGTGGCGATGGTAATGGATAATTTTCTGTTTCACCTTCACATAATGGACGCCATTTAGCTTCTTGACCTTCTTTTCCCATTCGTTCAAATCCATCAGAAAACCAATCAAAAAATATAGCTAAATACTAAACAAGAAACAATATCAACATTTAAATTAATCTTCATACCATCAAAATTTTTGCTAACGAGAGAACCACTCGAACTGATATTCACTGTTTGAGCCCATGGGAATAAATCCTTTTAGACATTTGCTAATCTCATCAAAGACTCCCTGTAGGCTCGATATAAACTCAAACGATGGGCATTAGTTTGGGTAGTTCTTTTATAAGAATTAATTTTCTGTAGATCATAAACTAGGATAATGTTTTAATTTAACTTTAATTTTCTCAAATCAATTCTTTGCTATAGAACTAAAATATGTTTTGTATGTAAAATATTACTTGAAGATTTTGATATGCTTCATCTGTCATCCAATCAAATGGTTTTTTATATGACCAAAAACGATGTTCATTTGGTAGACGAGCTCCACGTTTTTGTAATAATGCAATAGCCCATGTTGGTGATATAATAAATTCACGTTCACCAGTTGGAATATTTAAATCTAATTGTTGATTTTGACGACGATTAAATGATTCGATCTAAATTTTTTTTAAATAGAAAATCAAAAAAATCAAAATAAACATTTCAAATATTTTATCATACTTCCATTGCAAAATAAATCGCAAAAACACGTCGATCATGATCATTTAATATTCGATAAATTGTTATAAATGCATTTTTAGTTATATCTGTCATTACAGTACCCATTGAATGTCTAACAAAAACCGTATACCAAATTTTAGCTTTACAAAAAAAAAAAAATTAAATATTTTTACTTTTCTGATTGAAAAATACATGAATCAAATAAATCAATAAAATGTTCAAGTGGCATAACATATTCAGGTAAGAGTTGTCGTAAATAATGCATTATATTATAACAAGTAGCTGCTCGTTGAGCTAATTTTCTATAACTATTACGAGTTTTAAATAAATTTTCTTCTTGTACTGCAACTCGATGAGATCTATTAAGTAATAAGAATATATTATTTGAAATTTAAAATGAAAAACAGAAGTTTCTTTTTTTACCCTTCAATAGCTTCATCATAAGCTTTTTTTAAATCTGATAAACGTTTTGTTGGTTCAACACTATATAATAAATTTAATGAATCTGACGCAAGAAAATTTGTTATATTTTGTCGTAATGGATCAATAATTTTTAATATATCAACTTTTTCCTATTCAATAAAAAAAAGAAAGAAGAACACTATTGATTTGTTTTCAATTCAAGAATCTCTTATAAAAACCTGTAATAATGCATATTGTTCAGCATCAATATGCGGTTTTTCTTTACTCATAAATCGACCTAAAAATATTTCCTCAAGATCATTTAATGTAACATGAAAACACAATGTTAATGTATAAGCTGCTAATTCTTTCGGGATACAAACTGGTTGAGTAATAGTATGCATATAAAGTCTATTTATAAAGAAAAAAAAACATATTTTATTATAAACTAAATAAAGAATACAATTTTTATGCTCAAACCTAAATTTAGGACTACATTCAATTTCTTGTTGACCTATTTGTAATTTAAATGGTTTTTCACTAGATAAAAATCGAGCTTGATTTCTTATAACTGTTTCAAGTTTTTCATTTGCCATCACAGTATTTGTATCACAATCTGTTAATAAAAGATGAAGTCCTTCAGATAATGCAGTTTCTAATTGAGTACGTAATTGCTGTTTAAAAAAAACAAGAAGATGATTTAAGAAAAGAAATAAATCATATATATATTCTTACATGATATCGAACAACAATTAATTGTTTATTTTTTAAAAATAAACGAATCCATTCAATTGAATACCATGTTGCATCACATATTAATGGCCATGCACTAAGACCAGCATCAGCCATAATAATACATCCATTTTCAGTCATTATATCTGTTGCTATTAGACGTAGAAGTTGAAATTCTTTTAATTCAATTGGATTATATAAAAATTCTGCAAGTGTTGTTATTTGTGGTGAATTCGATCGACTATTACGTGCCGTAGTTCCTGGTGAATCTAATGATTGATTATGTAATGTATAAGAAAAATCAAGAGAAGTTTTCGCCATAGCATCAATTGGTATTGGCTTTTTAAAAGAGAAAAAAAAAATCAAAATTTTTTTGTTTTTTTTTCTATATGTATATCTAATACAGCATACTTGAAAAACTAAATCAGCTTCTCGAGGAATTTGATATTGTTCACAGAATGTAACAAATTTTTGACATAATATTCTTCTTAACTCTGCATCAAATGGTGAACAATAAGTCATATAAGAAGCTGCTAATATACAATTTGTTAAAGTTTGATCATGTGTTGAATGTTCAGCAATCCATTTTGTCCATTGATCTTCCAAATCAGATAAACTAAAGAAAAAAATATTAGAATAAATTCCTATTGAATTTAATAAAAAAAAAAACGTCAATGTGAGTTAAAAAAGGTAAAACATGACAATAAGTGAAAAGAATTCTCTTTAATCACAACACTCTTTAATGAGTGTTGTGAAAATCCTAAATTGGAATTTTCTTTATGTGCTTTGTTAGATTAAAGAAATCACTGCATGCAAATCTTAATCTTTTCTTTTTTTACCAGACACTCTCATCATCCGGTCGAGCCGATTGATCTCTTCTACAAATATGAAAATATAATGTATTGATCACAAAAAAAAAAAATAGAGATGAAAAAAAATAAACATTGTACTTGAACAAACATGCAAAACAAAAAATAATTCACATAACAGATATATATATATATATATATATATAGTCTTACTGCTTGAATTCTTTTATATCAAATAAATCCATTTCATATAGACTGATATTTATTAGAAATTTTAATAGAAAAGATGTTTTTTTTTTCCTAATAAAATTTCGTATATTTACCTTTGTGTTACATTAACAGCAGCTTGTAAACGTGTTTGACAACTTTCATATTCTTTTTTTAATTTACTTTTATTAACAGCTGCAGTATCAAAACGATTTTGTGCTTCTTCAAGTTCACTTATTAAACGTGGTAAATCATCAATTGTATATTTTGATATATCAACCATACGATGATCATTATCATTAAAATCTGTATGAAGACTTGCTTCCATCATTTTTAAACGTTGAATCTATAATATTGATATAAAAAAAAACTGAAACAAAGAAATTATTTTAACAAACTTCATTTTCTTTTTCTAATTGTTTTTGCTCAGCTTCAAATAAATCTTGTTTAAGTTTTTCAACTTTTTGTTTAGCTAAACGTAATGGTTGACATAATTTTGTATATTCTATAAGAGCAATAACATAATGAACAAGTGCTGCTGCTTCTTCAGATGCATAACGAGCAGCAGCTAATGTTATACGATTTTCTTGTGAACTAGAACCACGTACAGCAGGAACATGAAAACCTATTTATTATAGAAAATTTTACAATTGAAATAAAACGATTTAAAATACTAACTTTTGGCATTTTCTAATAGAGAACCTTCACCTGTAATTCCTTCAGATACTCCATCTCGACCTTTTGCAATATATGATTCAACAGCTAAAGAAACAAAAACAAAAAGAATAATGAGATTTTATTATTTGTTTGAATAAATGAATTGAAATTTACCATTAGCAACATCAAGATTAAGTCCATCTTGCCAATTTATTCCATGTAACATATCAACAAATCTACCTGAATCAGCCATTAATGCTGTATATTGTTTCCATTGATTACGATCAAGACGTTCAGCTTGCATTCTTCCTGGTCCTTTCATATTAAAAAAAAAAAAAAAGAAATCGATAAATAATTTTAATTTATTAATAAATAAACCTCTCTCTTTTTCTTGATCTTTAACTTCTGATCTAATAGCAGGTTTTCGACCAATTAATGTTAAAACTAAATTTAATAATAAATTTTTAAAACATAATGATAAAAAGCAAAAAATAAAATAAAATCTTTTACTCATTTCCATAATTTGTCCAATAAGTATAGGTGGTGTTTGAAAAGCACGTATTCTTTCAATACATGATTAATCAACTTTATTCATCCAAAGTTCAACTTCTTTACGTTTAGTTGCTAATCGTTCACGCCATTTTTCAACTTCACGTAATGATTCTTCATATTCTTCTTGCATTTTAACTTGACGAGATCTTAATGATTCTTCTTTCATTCGTTTAAAATTTTCTTCATATTCATCTGCTTCATCTAAAATTCAAAGTGAAGAAAAAACAAAAAATCAATTTATGAAAATAAAATAATTTAAAATCATATTATTTTACCATCTAAAAGCCATTTTCTTTCTTCTTCAGGTAATATTAAATCATCTTTTTCTTCTCGATGAATATAACCTGGTAATGATCCAGGTAATCCATGTTTAGCTCTTAATTTTTCTAAAATCATTGATTTATAAATAACTTCTTCTAAAAGTAATGCTGTTTCTTTTTCACTAGTTAAACATCTTTCTTTTAATTGTTGAATATATTCTCTCATATGTTCAGCATCTTGTCGTGTTTTATTTAATGTACTTAAAACTTTACTTAATCTTATTATATCACGTTCACAAACAGCTGCTTTTGATGTAAATAAATACCAAAATGATTGCATAAAATGACGAAATGTTTCTGGTCCAATATATGCATGTAATGATGATGTTGATGATGATTTACCTACACCATGATTTTTTATTTGTTCATATAAAAGTATTCGTGAATATGGATAATTTGGTAATTCAATATCAATCATTTTTGATTCTTTTGTTTCTTTATTTAAATTTTTTTTTTGATACAATTTGTTCTTTAAATGATGTTGTACCTGTTCCTCCTACTGAAGATGTTTGATTTGGTGCATTTTCACGAACAATTATTGTTCGATCTGTTGTACCAACAAATGATATTTGACGTGATTCATTTAACATATAATAATGTATTTCACATAAACAACGAGATAAACGTTGACGAAGATCATCTGATAGAATAGTATCATGTGATGAAAGAAAAAATGATGCTTCAACATAAAGTGCTGATGTTGACCAATTTTTTATCCAATAAACTTGAGTATTTTTAAGTAAACCAGGATAGTCACTAAATCAAGAAACAAAAAGAATAATGAATTTTTATTAAATTTTAGAAAAACAAAAAAAGAACAAGATAACTTACGTAGATATACGACTAAGAAGTTCACTATGTGCTGGTAAACAAATAGCAATATGAAGATGTTGACGAATTCTTGAAAGAAAATATCGTCGTGGATCAATTATAACAACTGTTGTTAAATTTTGATCACGTTTATATGCATTAATTACTGCCTGAAAAATTAATAAAGAAATTTTTTCATAATTATCTTCTATTCTTATATAATATATATGTTTTGATAAAGATTTAATTTAGGTTTGGATCTCGTCGTCTGTAGAGAAATATTAGATTTATCTGAAAAGGTTGAGTGAGAAATTTGGCAATCAATTAATGAGTCATTTATCTTCAAGAAATCTAATAGATATAAACAACAATAATATGATGTTTCTTCTCGAAGATTTGAACTGCGTGCAAAAAAGAAAATGAATGATTTTTGAAGCCGTTCCCATTAACCAATTAAGCAGAGAACTTAACAAAGATCCTGTTACTTATTGGTTGTAGAATATTTTTTCAGGTATTCTATTGAAAACTATCAACACATTTTCTAATAAACCTGTTTTAAATTTCTACAAAGATTATTGGTTATCTAATTATTTTGAATTATATATTTTGTTGTATCATGCCATTGTAAAGAACGTTTTCACAGCAATATTTGTTCATATAGAAACATTGTCTATAGAGATATACAAAATGTTAGTTTGTGCTTAAATATAGACAATTTCGAATATTAGTTTAGAAGGACGATAGAAATATTTTTCTTAATCACATAAAGATCAACATCTAGTGAACAATATGAGATTAAATTTTCATTTAATAACACAAACCTGGTAAAGTCCATCAAGTTCATCTTTACTAAAAAAGATGAGGACATTCATAACTTGTCAATAATGACGAAATAGTATCAATTATATCTGTATCACGTAAATGTTTATTCTAAATATTAAAAAAAAACATTTTATAAAAAACAAAAAAAATTTCTTTTAATTATTAATTTCTTACTGTAAGTAAAATTCCAATATGTCGTCCTTCAACAGCTGTTGTTCTAATAACACCTCTTAAACTATCATAAAATAAACTTTTTGTTGAATAATCAATAGTATGTTCTTGAATTTCTGCTAAATAAAATGCTAATCGAACTAATTTTGATAAATGAGAGCCAATTGTACCAATAACAAATAAATTACTCCTATAATATATCAATTATAAAAATATTTTCTTTTTTTTTTTTGTTTTTTAAATATAAATTCCTAAACTTACAAAGATGCATGACATAAAATTCGATGCATACGTATTATATGTAAAGCTATATTTTCTGAAACTGGTAATGAAAATGTATGATGACCAAATTCTTCTCTATAACGCATTGCAACTTGATCAATTGCTTTACGAAGTTGACTAAGTGATTCAACTGGTTGAATTTGAATCTAAAATGAATTCAATTGTAATATTTTATTTTATTTTAAATAATTAATTTTTTTGTACTTTAATTTCTTTAATTATAAGTGAACTAAGTGGACGTTCATAACTTCTTCCTTCAAGTGGAAATGTAAAATAAAGATGATCTTCTTCATTTTTTTCCCAAGAAAATACCTATTTGAAGACAAGAAGAAAAAAAAAAGAAAGATATAAGTTATTTTCCAAAAAAAATTTCTCTAAACAAAAAAACAAATTCTTTTACATTTCGAAATATTTCATTTATTGTATCAGTAAACCAATATTGATCAATTTCTCGAACAATTTGATCATGAATAATTCTATATAATTCATGTTTAAGAAAAGGTGCTAAAAATGTTGTTTGATTTCTTGTTTGTACATCAATATTTCTTAAACTTTGTATTGCAACCATAATATGACGTAATGAAAATAAATAATGTTCTCGTCCAGATATTGGACTTGGTTGAAGAACACGTTGAAGTATTTCAGTTAAAACATCAACTATTTTTGATGAAATATCATTATTTATTGGAGTTTTACCATATGCCATCATATTTATCTTAATTTTTAAATTAAAATTCATTAGAAAAAAAAAATAAAAAAAAAAAAAAGATAAAAATTATTTTTAATATTTACATCAATAACATTCGTTAGAATTTGACGTAGACCTGTACCAGTTACTGTTGGTAAATTAATTGTTGCAAAATGACGCTAAGAAAAAATAACAGCAAAATCTCGAAGATTTTTATTTATTAGAATAGATAAATTTTATTTACAAGTAATCGAGGATGAAGTGTAAATAATGATTGATCATTTGTTGATGATATTGTAGCTGTAGCAAATATCGAAAAATCATCAATGATCCGTCTTTCATATGGTTTTTGTTGTGTTATAAATTGATGATGATCAACAAGTGTTCGAAGAAACTATTAAATTACATATTTTTTGTTTTTTCGTGAGAAAAAATTTTAAAATTTACTTCAGGAGCATTTTTAAATTTTTCTAATCCATTTGTTGTTGATGCTTGTAAATCATCAATAAATAAACAAAGTTTTTTTGCTAATGGAGCACCATATGTAAAACCTTGTCGATGAACAACATTAGCTTCAATAAATTTTTGTAAATCAACAGAATTTGTTGCCTTTGAAAAATTTAAACGTGTTGCCATAAAATGTGCTTGATCTAAATTTAATTTATTTTTCTTTTTGTTTTATTTATTTATTTTTTTCTTAATTAATACAAACCTAATCCACTAAGAAATGTATCTAATAAAAATGATTTACATGAACCAGTTGTACCAGTAAGTAAAATATTAACTTGTGCTAATGAAGCATATTTAAGAAAATAATGTGCACGAGCTAAATCAACTGTTTGTACAAGTACATTACCAAAAACATCAATACGATCTTGAATATTTTCATTAAGTTCATCAACTCTAAAGAAAAACAAAATAAAATTTTTTTTTTTTTTTTTTTTTTTTTTAATAAATAAAAATTTGAATTTATATATTAATTTACTTAGCTGTTCATAAATCCCATTCACATGATTCATCAACATAATAATCAAATACCGATATTTCTCTATCATCATCTGGTAAAACTGTAACATAAGTTTTTAATATATCTGAATAACGTTTTTGTTCATCAGAATTAAGTATAGCTTTAAGAACAAATGTTAAACTGAATATAAAAAAACGTTCAACATGAACATCAGTTGTGACATGAGTACTATCACGTAGTATAGCATCTAATAAACGAAGACTAATCGAAAATAAACTTGTTTCAGAATAATAATTTGATCTAAATAAAATAAAAATAAGAGAAATTTTTAATTTTTCAATTGAAATTATATATAAAAGATTCTTTTTCTATTTGATTGGTTATACCGTGAACATTCTTCTTTAAGAAATGTCATTATTGGATCCATTACTTTATCAAAACAAGCTCGAAGACACTATTAAAAAGAGAATCATCAAATAAATATTGTTTATTTCTTTTTTTTTTTATTTGAAATTTTTCTTACTTGAACTTCTAATTGACGTCGATCTTTAAGCCAAGCACCTGCAATAACTTTCCAATCAATAACAGATTTATCGAAATAAATAACAGTCTATAAAAAAAGAAAACGAAAGTTAAAAAACTAAAAAAAAGAAAACAAAAACCACTTACTGAATTAGCAACAAATGAGGGTGATGCATCAGCTAATGATAATGTTTCAAACATAAATTTAACTTGATCAAGTAAAAATAATTTATCTCCATTACGTATTTGTAATGATGATTCTTTTTCTAATATTGATGGTAATAAATCAGCCCATGTTCGACTTATTATTCCATCAAAACAAATCCAACTTGTATGACAATTCTATTGATATGAAATTATTTAAAAAAAACAAAAAAAAACCTACTTCAGTTTATTAAAAAGAAAACAAAACTTACTCGATTAGCTTTACGTAACATTGTTGTAAGAATACCATCTTGCCAATCATTTGCTAATGTATGATAACCAAGTAAAACATTTTCAGATTCAATAGACAATGGATTAATTCTATAAAAAGAAAAAAACACGAATTTTTTTGTTTTTGAAATAAATTATTTTATTGTGAAAATAATTTACCGATAGAGTTTATGTGTTTGTGCAGCAATGTCTTGTGCATAATTTGATTCTTGTGGTGTCGATGAACTTCTTTGTTGTTGTTGAACAGATGTTTGTAATTGTTGTTGTTGTTGCATTTGTGTTAATACATCAATCATTAATATAGCTGCACTTGATTTACCACTATGTGTTGATCCACATAAAATCATATCTAAATTTAATAAAAGTGAGTGTATGCGTACGATAATAAACTTTGATCGCAAGCATTAACTTGCTCTCCATCGGTTCACATGTACTACATATACATGTTCTTTCCTTTATGAAAAACATACTCAAGGAATATATTCACATAAAAACTTTTTGTTTGTTATTTTGCTAATCTATATTCTACTACTGCTTTTTTTCTAGCTTGAAAGACTTCATTATCATCAAAGTTTGTGACACATAATCTAGATCTTAGTAATTAGCACTCTCTAATATAGTGAACTCATTTCATAGAGCTAACTTGACTTTGTTCAGTTCTACAGCTCTAAAAATTTCAGAATACACTTGTTGTTTTATGCAAACTTTCTACTGAAATTTTCAAAAGAATCAATAAAAGTCATTGTGAAAAAGATTTATCTCAGTTATTTTAAAATGATTTCTAATAGAATTTGGATTAGAGATAGCTACGATAGTGAAATTTCAAATGAGGAATCGAACAAAAATATTTATATCAGCATGGTTGTGATAAGGTAATTAAAAATGGAAGATGACACTCCAATCATAACTTATCAGCTCGATATCATAAAGAATAGTGACACTTTATAGTAGGATGACTATCTTTACACAGAATTATCTATAGGGAAAATGAAATAATCTTTATTTAAAAAGAAACTAACCTTTTGAAACATTTGCTGCATGAACTATTTGTACACATTTTCCAATCCAAAGTTTTTTTGGTATGAAATCATGATCAGCTGCTTTATCACTTATAATTTTATCGAGTATAGCACTTGTTGAATTTAATGTTGTCATTTTTGATTCATCTCGTCCAACAAGTATTTCAAGTACAAATATTCGAAAAGTTTTTGCATGCTAAAAGAAAGAAAAATTTCTTTTTTTTTTGTGTTTTTTAAATTTAAATAAAATATTCTACATCAGGACTCAATCGAGCACCAATAACATCAATAAATGCTTGAGCCATTAATAATTGATCAGATTTTGCACCAACATAAGAAGGTGTTTTGACTGTTAAAGAACGTTTAACATCTATAAAACAAAACAAAAAAATAAGAATTTATCGAAAGAAAAAAATATATTAAATAATATTACCATCAATTTTCTGTCCACTTGATGCCATACTAGTTGGTCTTGAACTAGTACGTTTTTTAAGATTATTTACATATTGAAATAGATCAATAAAAGATGTTAAAGAAATAATTGAACGTTGTTCAATCGGTCTAGATAATTTTGTTTTAATTTAAGACAAAAAAAAACAAATAAAGAAAGAATTAAAATTGATCAGGACTTACAAATATAATCGAATTGTTTCATAGAGAAGCGAAATTTTTTCAGCAATAACATTTGAATTTTTAAAATTATATTCGAAACATTTTATACGAAAAATTTGATCAACATCTGGTTTAACTATTGAAAACATACGAAAACGAGATCGAATTTCAGATAATAAAATTGTATAATTGCCAGTATTTGGATTAATAGCCAATGTATTACGTGTTGCTATTATACCAACAGATAATCGAATTGGAACCTTTTAGAATACATTTACAAATAAATAAATAAATAAATAAAAATCATTAAGGTATTTATCAAACCTCTTTGCTTTCAGAAATTATTGTTGCAGCTGAATTATTTGTTCGAAGAGCATCAGAAATTAGTGTTATATATTCAGCAAGTGGAGATAAAACATTAACTGTTAAAGTATGAATATTATTAAAAATACCCCAACATCCATCCTAAATTATTTAAAATATAAAATTGATATTATTTATATTATAGAATAATATAAACTCACCGATACTAATCCAATTGTAAACATACAAGCAGCTGATGCATCAACATGTTGAGAACATTCAAATGTAGCAACAAATCGACCAAGAAAACGAGCCAAACTCTATATATAAAGAAATCATTCTTTTTAAAAATAAAAAAGCTTTCTTCTATAATAGTAATAATACCGTAATTGTATATTTTTTTCCTACAGCTGCATTTCCTTGTACAAGAACAGGTCGTTTAAATGATAAAGCAAGCCATATACCAAGAAAACATTTTTCTGTTGTTGGTGCAATACATAATGTTGGATGAATTCCATAAAATTCATTACCATAAGAAAATACATCATCCATTACTTGAATACGAATTGGTTCACTGGAAATATTTGATGATGTTACACTACTATCACTAGATTTTGATTCTGATCCTGAAGGAGATGTTTGTTGATAAACTCGAAAACATCGTCGCCAATCAAAATCTTTTTGTGTTATTTCACGACGACGTGAACCAAGTGCATCGAAATTATCACGTAAATATGCCGCAAACTTTTCATATAAAAGAAAAAAAAAAGGAATAAATCATTTACAAAAAGAAAAAAGTATTTTATGAATATTACCGCAAGAACTCCTTCTAAACGTAATTTATGTACTTATAAGTAAAACTGGTTGTGATGGTGTTTTCCATTGTAAACGTGATAATACAGTTGGTATTTTTTGAATTAATAATGAAAAATGTTTTGATGCTGTATTTAATCCTTTTCGATCATTTTTACATTCAATAAAACCTGTTTCAACTTCACGTGTCCATGCATATAATAATCCTACTAATGATACTTGACATGTATACTGGAAAAAAAACAAACAAAAATTATAAAGAAATTTTTCTTCTTATCAATTTATAAGATACTTTAGAAACAAGTTCTTCATATGGTAAACCATTATCGAGATCTTTAATACATGAAGATATATCCGTTCGTAGTGTTTCAGCAACAGATTCTTGTAAACGACTAAGCCATTGTTCAACAGATTTTGTAATGGTATAGAACGATGTAATGACATACATTCACCATCATCACTCATTACTTGTATAATATCCTGTTGTGTTATAACAACAAATTCGGAATGAGAACGAGATTCACTTGTAGCTGTAGCCTAATGAAAGAGAACAACAATAATAATAATAATATAAAAAAACCAAGAATAAAAATTTTAATCAGAATTCTCATATCGCACTACCACCAGTAGTGCTTACAACTTTCGGTTCTAGCTATAAACGATTACAGAGAACGTTCTCTATTCAAATTCGAATTATTTATTAGAGAGAATTGAAATTAACCGAAAAGAATATATTTTACTAATAAAAATTTTTCTCATAACTAGAGTCGATTTGAGTTCTACGACTAGTACAGATGGTTCAAGCATGTCAACATTATTTTAATACGTCGGAAACGACTCAATTGTATCAGTTGAAACATATTTCACAAATATTTACCCGTTTTGATACAAAAATTCTACCAATCATTATATTGGTAGTAGTTTCTCGAAAGTTATCACATAGATTATTAAAATAAAACTTACACGTCGTTCTTCATCTACTTTTGGTTGATCAATATTTGTAACAGATAATTTAAGATCACGAATTCCATTAAATATTGATTGAAAATGTTGTTTTACATAATAAATTGTATCTTGTCGACTTAATAATGATATTAATGTACGATTAGTAAGAAAATAAAGACGTGGAAATATTTGACGTTTTCGATCCAAATATAATGATATGGATTTATTACATATTTCTAATTCTTTTTGCATTTCTTTTAATATACCTTTTTTTGGTGGTTTACTTAAACAACATTGTAAAACATTACGAATTTCAGATGATTGTCGTTGAGTTTTTAACCATGTTTTATCAACACGTACAAAGCGTTTAGATTCTAATGATATATCTTTTCCAGCTGATGGATTATTAAATATATTTTCAGCACCTAACCACATATCTTGAACTTCAAGCCAAAGTTCAAGAATTTCACCAATAGCTTTTAATTTTTCAGCCCATGATGCTACTTCTTCACGCATCGGTTCAATATATCGTGTTGTTAGCATTTGAGCTAGACTAAAATTATCATATATATATTTTTTTTCTTATGAAAACAAAAAATAAACAACAGATAATAATTCAAATAACTTACGTTTCTTCACCATCTTCTAAATGTTCAAGTAAATTTTCAACATAACGTTTTTCTAATAATATTGAACCATAATCTTTATATGGTTCAAAATTAAGTATTTGTTCAGTCCATTCTTCTTCAATACTACGCATTTTTGTTTCTAATTCAAGTTCTTTACGTGCTGAAAAACAAATAGCAGCAATTTCATTTTGATATTTATCTAATGATATATCTAATAGATCATTTAATTTAAATATAGTTGATTCTAATTGAAATGAACATCCTGTTATTTGCATTACTTTTAACCAATGACGACTACGAATTTCTCGTGCATTTAACATAAATAATAATGGTAATAATTGAAGATATTTTTTTAAATGACTTTCTAAATCAAAATAAGCTGTCCAAATACGTTCTTGTAATTTCGATGGTAAATCACAAAATTCTGTCCAAAGTTGATTAAGTTCATTTTTGCTTTGATTTAAATCAACTTCAGACCAAAGAGTTGCACGAAATGTTGTATCAAAAGTAATAAATTTTTTATATAATATATAAAGTTGATCAAGTAATACCAATTCCTATAAATAATAATCAATTATAAATAATATTAAAAAAAAATAACATTCAATAAATAATCGACGAAAATAATCAAGATATAGATAAAAGCAAGCATAGCTAAAGCATGCATTTTTATTTTCTTAATTCTCACCTATTATTGATATTCTCCTAAAAATATTTTATTTTATATTTTCTTGCTTGTTTTTTTTTCAATGTTATTATTTAAAATTTGAAAAGAAAAAAAAGATTCAATAGTATAAACTTACTTCTCCTGTTTTATCTAATTCAGGAAATTGTTTTGGTTGTAAACTAAATAATGTTGATATAGAATTTAATGTTTGTTTACGTCGATGCATTATTTTATATTGTCCTTGAAAATCTTTTAAACGTTTAGCTGCTTCTAATGGTCCTAAATCAGGTACATTAGGTCCTTCAACATCAAATGCATTTCGAAAACGAATAACTTCAACAACAAATGATTTAACTTGTTTATCTAATTCTTGTTCTAATTGTTGTCGACGTTCTTGTAATAATTGTCTTCGTACACGATCAGCATTTAACATTAATTCAGACCATTTATCACGTAATTGTGAACATTCTTGAAGTTCATCACGTGGAATTGGAATATTATAAACTTGATCAAGAAGTGCATAAGTTGTTTCAATTGGTAAATAAATTGAACTAAAAGAAAAAAAAAACAAAATAAATAAAAAAAATTATTTATTTATTTATTTATTTGATCTTACTCTATTTTATTTTCCATTTCACTTAATTCTTCTAATAAAATTAAAGCTTCATCTAATTGTTCAAGTGTTGATACATCATCATTAAATCTTAATTGTACTTGTTGTCGATAAGCAACAACTTGATCAAGTTCAAATTTAGCAAATCTATGTAATAATTTAGCATATTGAGTTTTCCAACTAAATACAAATGTTTTTAATGAATTTATAATTGGAATTGTTTCAATACAAATACAACCAATTTGAATTTCATGTGGTAATATACTAAGACGTTGTTCAATTCCTAGAAGACGTTCAAGTTGATCTTGTAAATATTTACGAACTTCTATCGATGGAATAGCATTTGGATCAATTATTATTGTATAATCTTCACCATTTTCATCTTGTTGAATAATTGTTTGATATTCTAATTGTGAATCATCACGCCAAAGAAAATCAAATGTACGAATATATTGTATACCACTTTGAGATATACGTGTTACATTTGTATCAATTGATGATAAACGATCAATTAAACTAGATAAATGTGTATCTGATTCGATTATTGAAGATAAACGATGAGCAGTTTCATTGTCAAAACCAGCAGATTCTAGAAGAGTTTTTTTTGTTTTGTTTCAGAATATTAAACAATATATGAACATATTATAAATAGAAAAATTATCAGAAGATAATTAAATATCAAATACGATAGAGTTATTATTATTACATCAAGATCTATGTTGCTTTCTAAATATTATCTTCTATGGTAAACGAAAGTATTTCATGTTGCATGTTTGTTCGTACTACCACCGGTTTGAGTCATATGGAATTGACAGTAATTTATAATAGCAAAAAAAAAAAATATTCAATGATGATCTATCATTTGTTTTCCTCCTTTCTGCTAGTATTATTCGTCTTTCCTTCGTCTACATAGTATTTTCAGACTTGATGTTATTGTACTATCGCATGAACTTCCCAGAGTACTTTGACTATATTCAAAATTTGATATTCTTCATATGACATTTTAAGCTACTTTTAAAGAAATTTTTTACTCGTGTATCATTAGCACCCAATGTCTTTAAGTATGAAAATATATTCTTTTGTATATTATTACTTTGAAATTTTTATAGGACTAATCAAAATTGATTAAAAGACCTTCCACGGAAAAAAGAAATTTTTTTTTTTGAGCATCCAATCTTGATGAAATTTTCAGTGGAGGTGTATCTCGAGCTAGACATCTTACAGTAAAAATTTCAGCTCGATACATTGAGTCGACTAGGAGTTAGCTTAAGATTATCAGTCAAAATTTGGATTTCCGTGTGTCCCAAATTTCTTCGTCATTTCAAATTAAAATTAACAAACTATAGTGTATTCGAAAGTAGACATTTTACTCTATCTAACGAGCTATAAATCACAAAATCGATGAATTTGACCAAACTTGACTTGGGGCCTTAAGCTTGTTATATTTGTTCTTCCTCCTCTAGTGCTCAAAGTCATTGTCGTTCTACGTTTAAATAATTGTGTATATTTGCTGTTATTTACTTATTGTTCGTACTCCTTCATGAAAAATATAGAAATAAATATCAAAATCTTTCTTAAATGATTTTATGAGTTCTCTTAATATGAAAAGGTGATGTGTTAAGAGTCAAAAATTAATGTTTTTTACTAAATCTTTTTTTTTCTCAAAATATCCTTACCACTTATTTGTTTTTCACAACCAATAATTGCACTAGCAACATCACAAATACATTTTTGACATGAACTTAATGGTGGATCAATAATTATTTCCGGTATAGCATATTGCATTGTACAACCAATTCTATATTTAAAAAAAAACACCGAAGAAAATATAATTAAATTAATAAAAATAAATAAATAAATAAATATACCTAATTCGTTGTGTATCAATATTTAATTGTTCATCATTATCTTGTCCTTCAAATAAAAATCGAATTAATTTTGTTTGATCAATTAAATATTTTGTTTCTGTAATTGAAACTAAATCAATATAAGTTGTTAAAGTTCGTTCAATTATTTTTTGTATACAAAAATTCATTTTATCATAATAATATCTAATAAATTCCATCATAGCTTCATTTGTAACAGCAGGTGTTGCTGTTTTTCCTCGTCGTGTTGATGATGTTGATGAACGTGATTTTTGTCCTGTTGTATTTAATTTTAACATATCTTCAACTTCTTGAAATGTTTGTTGAATTTGATGTAATTTATCACCAATTAATATTGATTGTTCATTTAAATGTACATGCATATTTTGAAGAAATTCTGTTGGTGTCCATAATTTTGAACGAATATAATCAATTGAAAATAAAAGACATGATGAATTCATTAATTCATTATCAAGTATATTATCAATTTTTTCTGCTATTAATGTATTTATATTTGATATTGATGTTTCAAAACGATCAAGTGCACGATGAACTTTAGCAATATATGCATCAATATTAAGACTTGACCAAGTTATTGTATGTAAACCAGGTTCAAATGCTCGATAAACTTGTGACAAATGACTTGTAAATAAAGGATAAAATGGTGGATAAATTCGAGATTGTAAATAACGAAAACGTGTTAGAAGATCATCGAGTAAAGATTTGTAATGTTTAAACGTTTGTTCCTATGAAATTTAAAAACAAATAGATAATCAAAAGAATTTTATTCATGTTGAGCAAAAAATTTTTTTTGATGTTAAATTCTTTTAACGTCTTTCAAATAAAATATAAAATTGTTTTTTTTTTTAAGGAATTAGAATAGGCAAAAAATAAAAGGTTTTAATGAGAATATTTTCAATAATTGTATTTTAATTGATGAAAGAAGAATGTAAAGTTTATTTGTTTTAGTATTCGCTCTATTTACACGATGAATATAAATATAATTTTTACTAATTTAAATTAATTTCAAAAATTGATCATGCTGATAATTAAACTCGTAAAAGAAGATTTTCATTTATAAAAGAATGAATCTTTATGTAGAGATACATAATCTGTCACACCGTAGACAACAACATGGACGTTTGATGCAAAAATAGTTTTGGAATTTGAATAATATTTGACCAGTGGTCTATTCCAGCTCTTTAAGAGTTTGGAAAAAATCCAGACCCAAAAAAATGGTCATCTTTCTATCATCTACTTATAGGAAAGTATCAATCTTTTTCAAAGAAAGTAGAAAAACCTACGGAATAAACCATAGAGCTCTTGCTCTATTGTTCTATATGAAAAACTTTATTCTAACAATTTGTTTGTTGGAAAAAGTATTTATGCTCTTTCAACTAAGAGTTTTCTAAAAGGTCGTGTTCAGTCTAGTTGATGCATACATTTTAGCGTAGCTTCAAACTTGATAAAACATAAGTTAAGAGGCTCTCTTCATACATTTTACATCGAAAATGTTCTTTTTACGAATTTCAATTTTTTTGTTGAATACTGAAAATGATGATTTGTATGGGAAAAAAATGCGTTTTTGATAGAAAATAAGCCATACCTAGGTGTTCTATAGAAATTGTCTATTGTGCGCCGCTAAAACGAAAGATTTCTACGAACGGAGATGAATTATTGAAAAAAAACAATTCCCCTGCAATCAAAATAAAGAAAAGACCAGATTTTCTTTTTCACTTGCACATTCGAAGAAAGCGAAAGAGAAATCAATTTACTTAACAGATAAAAAATAGTCTTTATTAATCATCAGTTAATCGGAGCAGTTTTCATTCCAAAAAAGTAATCGACTGTATAATTAAATAAAAGAAGAAACTATTTCGATACTTTCTTAACAATAAATAAATCACAGATGTTGCGTACATAGCTTTTGCTTTTATTTCTACAAGAGAAACATTTCTTTATTCGAATTTCCAAATGAGAAAAAATTTTTCTACAGTCAATGATTTTCCAAAATTTCCTCAATGCGCGTTGGCGCGCACAGGCAGATTCTGTATGTCTGCCTTTATAACAATTCTTTGAAAGTATATTGTGACGAAAAATAATTTTCATTTATCAAAATAATAATAATTATGATATCTGAGTCTATTAAACAATTGTTGTTGTAGAGAAATGAAGAATCATTTTCTTGATCACTTTCTAGTTGGATTATTAACAAAGTTGTAAAAAGTAAAAAGAAGTCATTCTAAATCATTAATCAGTTTTGATATAAAATTTATTATATAAAGTGAAACCTTTTAAATTTAAACAAAATCTAGAATGACTCGTCTTCATTTACTAGGGTAAAAGATCAAAATACAGCAAAAAGAAAGTCATGACTTATGTACGAAGATTTATAATGATGAAGCGTTAATTCTATATTGAATCTAATTTCAATCAGTCCTAGTTAATCATTAAAAATAATTCTTTACAAAGATGGGATCAGCTTGTGGCTTTTTTTTTGGTAAACTGAACCGATTCAATGTCTAATTTTCTTGTTCGTATAAAAATTTTCTCAAAGTTCTTAAATATAATAAGTCCACTATTTGACTAAATGAATACCTTTTGCATACAGACAAGTGCTGCTTTAGGAATATCTACATCAAGTCGTTTAAACCATTTAACTTCATCAAATATAGAAAATAATTCAATATTCGAATTAATTTCTATACGTTTATTATTTTCTTCACTATCATTAACTAAACATAATAAATTAGCATTTAAATGATCTTTCCATGCATCAATTTTTTCTTTCCATCGTCCTAATAATAATTGTTCATAAACAAGTAATGCTTTAGCTGTACGATTATAAAGTTTTGATATTAGTGGAAAATTTCCTAATGTAATAATATGTCGATTTAATTTAAATACATCCATTGCTTGTTCAATTTTTGTTAATAATGTACGTGACCAAGCAATAGCACCTTAACAACAAAAAAAAATAATAATTTGTCTTTCAAAAACAAAAATAAACAATCTTCAAATAATACTTTACCTGGTACAGGTGGAGCATTTCGAGGTATTGGTGGATTATCTTTATGTGCTTCAAATGTTGTTCGAATATCCAATAAATCATTCTCAAAATCTTAATAGAAAAAAAAAAATTTTTTTTTGTAGAAAAATCTTTTTGTTTTTGTTTTATTATTATTAAAATTTACTAAGAAATAAATTAACATAAGCATCACGAAGAATTGAACGAAGATAATTTCGTTCACAAACAGGTTCAAAAGTTGCTAAAATAGATAAACCTTCATGTGTACGTTTTGTTTTTGAAAACATCACATTAACATAAGCACCAATAAATTGTTCTAATTCACGTGTTAATGAAGTAAATTGTTTATGAATTAAATCAAATCTTTAAAATTAAAAATTTATTTTAAAAAATCTTTTAATTATGAAAAAGAAAAATATATATATATAAATACTTTGTTTTTTCATCTTCATTTGATGGATTAATAGTATTATTTGTTAAAATTAATCTAAGTCGTTCAACACCATTAGCAATAAATCCACTTAATGATACAGAATCATCATCACAATATTGTTCTTTTGATTAGACAAAAAAAAAATAAACGAAGAAGATAAAATTTAGAATTTTCAAGATAAAATAACATACTCATCAATTCAAGATCAGGTTTTGATACAGTTGAAATAAGATAATCATTTGGTGTTGCACCTGAATCACTACCTGCATCATCAATACCTTCATCTGAAGCATTCTCAGCATTATTATTATTATTATCATAATCTTCTTCTTCTTCGTCTTCTTTGTCTTTACGTGCTCGAGCATCTAAAAATAATTTAAAATTGAATAAATGATTTACGATGATTCCAAAAATCAATTATACAGATTTAATTTCGATAGATAAATTTGTTTCTACTACAGATTTAACGGAAATAAAATCTTTACAGTAGTATCGAATTTTCAGGATCTCTAGAAAATCTAAAATCTAGTTTTTCAGCAGTCAGAACCCTAAAATAAAAGTTTATTTTAATTAAACAGGGTAATACAGCAACTACATCAATTTTAAGAAAAGTACAAAAGTCTTTTTATCCCTTTTTTCATATAGGAAATGCCCAAAAAAAAAACCACTTTTGGGCCTTTCTTGAAAAAAATATAGCCTAGTCACGTTTTTCTCTTAATTTCTAAGCATAAAAAGTTTTCTTTATATGCCAAAAGATATAAAATTTCATGCTAAGTTAACCTTGTCAGCGCCAAATTTAAAAGACTCACGCTTACTCTGTTATCTCACTACGATTTTCTATTCTCCGCTGATGTATATTTATCTGTGAAAAATCTTTCCTTATCAAAGTCGATGCCAAAAGTAAATTACTTAGTACCAATAGATAGGAAATTTTGTGCTCTATGCTTCAACGATCTTTTCAAGGTTCCCAAGGGTCGTATTTACAAGGAAAAAGACTTGGCACTGCAGCTATCCTGTAGTTTTGAATCTACTTTGAAAAATTATGTTTTTGAAAGCTAAACTTGCTCTATGAAATATTTATTATTATACTGTCGAATGTAGAATTTAATTCTGAACAAAACCGCATAAATATCAAACTGAACTGAAAATATTTGGAATGTTTCAAATTAGAAAATAAAAATGGCATAGGTTTATCTAAAAAAAAGTTTTTTTCTGACGCTTCTGTTTTTTTACTTCAAAACTATTTCTCTCAAATATTTTTTTCTAAAATTCTGAAATGTGCATCCACAGATGTAGAACTTTTAAAGAAAAATTTTGTAAGATAGTTGAAAATTTATCGGAAATTTTATTAAAAAAGTATCATCAGTTTTTTCCTTGACCGTTATACTTCGACAATGTAAATTTTCCGTTGACTAGAAAAATTTGTTTGAGAAATAAAGACAACAATGTTGTATATCTTGAAATTTTCTGTCTAGGCATAAGAGAGATATTTTTTTTTTTATGATTAAGAAATGAGAAAAAAAAAGAACTGAGATTTAGAACAATTTCTTCTGAGACACCTGTTATGGATTTTCAAATTACTGTGTACATTTTATTTCTTTTACATCTTTGTTGGAAACGAATTTCTTTATACCAATTACTATTATATAAAAAAAAAATCGAAATTGAATCTGTATGATCCATTGTTTGAAAAGACTGTATATGTAATAATGATTTATTATACCTGTACGATTTGCGACAGATTCAGCATCAATTAAATCTGTTCGTTTTGGTTTAGGTAATCGAGCAGTTGAAGTAATGAGTCTAAAATTTAATTTGAAATAAAAAAAAAAAAGATTAATTTTATTTATCTACTGTGATAATTGATTAAGTGTAACTGTCATATCAAGCATTTGTTCAACTCGACGACAGAATTCATCGAAATGTTGAAAAATTTTTTCATCTTGTGACATTAAAATTCCACTTGAACGAGTATAATGATATCTTGAATGACTTTGATCCTGTGGCTGAGCACTCCTATTTAGAAATATCCGAAATAGTTTATTATTAAAACTAATAAAAAAAAAAACAATTCTTTTGTTTTTTCAACTAACGTTGTTCCACTTAATGATGATGATGATGTGGCTGAAAAAGCTGTAGTTGTTAACATTTGTGAACCACCAAGTGCATCTCGTAAAGTACGAAATGTTTCTTTGTAAGATGCTTGTAAAAGAAGACAATTTTTTAAACGCTGAAATGTACTTTCATTAATTGAATTTGTATCTAATGGTATTGATCCTTTTGGAACTTCACGAAAACGTTTTACATCCTATTTTTGAAAATGAATAAAAAATAAATTGAATAAATATTCTTTTTTTTTCGTTTTTTTCAATCATACTCGTTTATCAAGATGAAAATTTTCTTTAATATCATCAATTAATCCTCCATCGAGAATTTCATTAAAAAGTTTTGACCAAAGTTGTGTTAAATCATCACCAACATAATATTTACAAATTTTAACTAATTGATTAGTAACTTTTGTAAAAATTAAGCCTAAATAACCTTGTCTAGCATAATATCTTGATACTGATTCAACAGTTCTCATAGCATCACATAAAGCAGGTAAAATATTAACAGCACAATTTTGTGGATGTGCATCTTCAGTTAAACTTTCTAAATAACGACGAATTGATTCAAGAAATTTTGTTTTATCACGACATTCATTTTGTGCTTCAGTTATACTATTTATTAAAATCAAAAACAAAAAGAAAAAAAGAAAATTTTTTTTAAATGATTAAATAAATAAATAAAACAAAAATTTACGAAACATCGATTGCTTTCCATTTTCGAATAACTTTTGATTTTGATGTAATTAATGCACCAATAACTGCTTTACATTCTTTAGATTTTAATTGTTCAAGTAAATTATTAATTAAACGTTGTTTACGTGTCCATCGATCAATTTCACTTAATGGACCAAGTGATGGATGCATTGAACTAATACATTAAACGTAGGAAAAATTTGTTCAAAAACAAAACAACAATTTTTTTTTAATATAAATCTTACTCTTCACCAAATATATCTTGAAGAACATTTTCAATTGTTGAAATCCATGATAAAACTAATGCTTCACAATTACGAATAACAGGACTATCAGCAGTTGACCGTGAAGTTTGTTTTAATTGACCTATCATTTCAGCATCAACTCGTTTTAACAGCTGAAATGAAAGTAAAATAATTATTTATGAAAAAATTTTTTTTTTATATGAATACTTTAAATTTTTGAAATCGCATAAAATAGCTAATGGAATTATGAACCTATCTACCAACGACAAAATACTTGCGAATCGTATTTTTAATAGATATTTTCATGGTAGGTAGTCAACTGCAAAAAACACAAAGT